ATGCCAGGGTACTGTCTGCTTTGCTGCTGCTAAGAAGTGAATATAGCCAAGGGTCAGAGAAAGAACTTGGCTCCTTTCCTTGGGCAGCAGGGCAGTACAGATTTGCACAGTTTGTTCTACTGGATAGGCGCTGCTCCACTGGCAGCTGCACTGGTTTCACCAAAAATAGGCTAAGATGACCAGTTATGCCATTTTCTGTTTCCCAGAGCATACATTTCTCCTATCAGAAAGGCAGAAAGGGTACTATACTAGCAGAAGGGACAATGCCATGAGTGTCCTGTTCTGGTTTCAATCCTGGTCCTGGTTTCCTTGTTCCCCCATGATGACAGGAGCTGGAAGTGCACTCAGGCCCTGGATCCAGAGGGGCAGAGGTGGGGGTGAGAGGGGAAGGAGGAAGAAGACAAGAGAAAGAGGAGGACACATTATGCTCCTGAGCAATTCCTGCTACTAAGTCAACCAACTGTAGGGTCATTTCTTGGTTGCAGAGGACAGGAAGGAGGACAGCAAGTCATCTATCATTCATTACCTCACCTCTCCCTGCTCCCCCCCAGACCCTCACCCTATCCTGAAAGATTTCAGTGTGATATGATTGTAAACAGTTAAGGATTCCTCCAGTGCTAAGCCCACTACAAGCTGGGCCCACCCCCTCCCCCATTATGTACAATACATTCACCAACAACAGAAATTTATTTAAAAAGGCAACAGGTTAAATTCTGTAAACTGGATCCAGCTCCAAAACACACATGTTAATACTACAAGTAAAATTCCATCATCGTCCTCTTCCACCCTGAAAAATATACCTGAGTTTAGCAGTCAATGAACGTTTCTGCCCCCACCCTCACCCTCCCCCCACCCCAAAAATCCCTCAAACCCTGAATGAGACGCAGTCTCCGGTCACGGAAAGCCACTAGTGTGTGATGCTCGCCCTGCGGTGGCGAGCCAGCTGCTCAGCTGGCTGGGGCCCAGTGCTGCCCCAGGTTCCCAACACAAAAGCCATCGCAGCACCATGTTCCATGGATCCAGGAAGCTACATGCTGCTCAGGCGAGGGGAGGGTGGGAGGAAGGCCTGCCCCTCCTCCCCCTTGTCCAAATCATGTGTGGCTTTCGTCTTCATGAGGTCCTTCCTTCCTTGGACTAGCTCTGGAAGAGGAAGAACAAGAGATGGAGGCTTTAACTGGCAGCTTTAGGAAGCAATCACCTCATGATTACATGCAATCAGTTCAAAGCTAGCACTATCAGTCCACCTAGGTTACATTTTACAGTCAGCTAAGACTATGGAGATATCCCCAACTCCTCTACATAGCAGCACTTCACATCCCAGCTTCCTCCAGTGCTTCCCACTTCATCAAACACTTCACTCCTTTAACCAGCAGGAAGGGAAAGATTTGCATTTGAACTCTGCTCTCTCTAGCAGCCCTTACTTGATCCAGAGGCAATGCTGATGGTTTTTGTGACGTCAAGTCTTCCCGGGACATGGTTGCTGTAGGCATCTTTGGGAAGGGAACTTGAGCCTGATGCATTTGCATTCTGGAGCCAGGTTGAATGGAGAGAGTTTTAGCACATGAACTCAAGAGCAAATCCCATTAATTCGTTGAAAGCATACATAAAACATTCACATACGAGCATGCACTTTGTGTATTCTTCTTTCTGGCTTCCCCCAAACCACAACCTTTAATCCATGCCACTCCCCCAATGGCTTAGTTGTAAGACAAGCTCCCTGACTATTAGAAGGACTGTCATGCCAGGGCTATGACAAAACATTAACAGTGGAAGCACATTTATAAAATCTGAATACGGAATTTTTGGAGTAGCATCATTTTCCACTTGGGAATAAAACGTGATGGACTCAGTCTCAGGGAGAAGGAAAGGGAAATCTGAGACAGAGAGGAAGGGCAATGCAAGACGAGGGGAAAAAGGGGACAACATTACTTAAGTAAAGGGATTAATAACAAGAGGCTGACTTCTACTTTAGTTACTCTGCCCCACTATGAGAAAGATGCAACAAAATTGCAAGAGTCCATTTGATTAAGAGCTTCACAACACTGCATGACACATTAACAAACACTGTCAGATAAAACAAATCACTGGTGTCGGGATGGATGAGACAGGCTATCTGGTCTCCATGATAGCAATTGCTACTTGTTTTTAAAGAGCTGTGAAGAGAGACTCTCTCTCCAGCTTAAGAGACCTCTTACTCCAAGGGTCTAACAGTCACCTGTTAGCTGTTCAACTTTGCCTGCCATCTCCCCTGACTTCAAGAATCATCCTTTCAAGGATATTCAACACTTATCATCACCAGGCATCACCCCCCTCCCACCTTGCCTTCTCGCAGAAAACACGATCTTACCCCGAGGGTCTATACAAGTCCTGGGGTGGCCCCCCCATGCCACCTCCACTGCCTCTCTGCTCCATCAGCAAGGCCTGAAAGTGACCTACGTTCTCCTCTCGACAGCGGTACAGAGGTCCCTCCTGAGAGAGGCCATTGGTCTGGCTAGAGACCGGATGATGAGACAGATGAGCATTCATGGGCGATCCATATGTCCTGGGCTGGAAATGACTGGCAGGATGCCGGGATGCATAAGGAGAGCCAGTCTGTAGCATCACCCCATGGGGAGGGAAGGCTGATGGGCCAAATCCCATCCCCGAGCCCAGGTGTGGTGGTGGGGCTCCATAGAGGAACTAGCTCTGCCTCTTCGTGGCCGCATTGTGGTTGTCCAAATCAAGAAACTCTTTGGGACTCTCTGGCCTTTCCTGGGACTCCTCGGACTTCTCATCTTCAGGCCCCAGATCCTGCCCGTCGCTTGGAGAAACCTCTTTGGCACTCGCTACGTCCATGCGGTTGGGAGAGGCCAGGGCAGCGCTCAGCGCTTCGCAGACCCGCCAGC